TCTTTTTGGTTTATAACTTGTATAACAAAACTGCTTACAAAAGACCCAAACAGAAGCTTTTTCAGCCTGAGAATTCACAACAGAATTCATTATTTTTTCAGTCCAACTGCTTCAACACTTTGGTTTATTAACACCCTGGAGAGCTATCCTTACAGTTTTTGGATGAGAAACTTGCTATTCAAGCATCCAAACAATTCACTATAGATGGCACTTGATGTGACTGTGACCTGCTTAAAAAGATCCATTTCTTTTTCTGCATATGGAATAGGCTCTTGAGAGGTATATTACATGGTTTCAGGGCTTATTTGCACTTCATACACTAACAGAAAATAGATGGTTGTTTGTTGTTGACTGACCTGTCTTGTATGGCAGCAGAACAGTATATAGTTTGTTTGTTTACAGTGTGGCTGCCTGATATTCACTACAGGGTCGCCAAAGATAGCAAGTAACAACTAAGTATGATTTAATCGTTTCATGAGTGTGTTTCCTCTCAGATGCTCTACTACTCTGAGCCACAAGCACATTTATAAAGAGTTGCCAGAGCTGGAGCAGCAGAAATCCAACACCACACTCCCTTAGTGTGACAATCCAATGTGGAGCCTACATGGCGTCATTGGAACAGAAATGAGGACAGCTTTCTTTGCCATCATGGTGGATATTTCAGGGGACAAAATAAGACATTTCATCTTTATCTTGCTAATCATTTTACCATGAAAACACTCCCCCTTCTCTAGCACCACTCCCCTGTTAGCCGGGGCTTGAGGCTCACCGTTTATGACAATATGGCAGGGGGCTCCCTCAACAGCTGAAAGGGTTTGGAAGCGGCTGCGTGGCGTCGCTCCATTTTCTCTGTGAGCACCTGCTTCGACTTAGAGCTAACAACTTGACATTGATGTTATTTGTGCGTGAGTTAAAAGGACGCGTTAGATCCTGTGGGTGATATGTATCATTGTATGGGACTGAAATTCTGCAGCTGGTGGCCTGTAATCGAACTTTCTCAGACACAAAAAATCTTGTAATTTTGGCTTCAGAGCTCAAAAAAAGCCCAGCGCTGCTTTCCTTTAACCTGTCAGCTAGAAAATCAATAGCTCATTCCCTAGCCTTGTAATCCCCAAATAAATATGATTGTCTAAGTCTCTACAGCATGGGCGCTTTGATACAGATGGAGTTTAAGTGCAGATTTGATGGGTCTGATATCACACACCTTTGATTGTTCAGAACAGCACACATCTTTGTAAGTGAGCATCTTTGGTCTGCTACGTGCTCCCAACAAGTTCAGAAACTTTGTATATCTTCAACCAACTTGCTAATAAGGATCACTGCTGCATTGTTATTCAGAGCGTGGGGGTTACACACTACAGCTGCAGACAGGGCATTGGTATGCTGCAGGAGCAGGAGCAGGACTCAGCAGGTCCACCACAGAGCAGCGTGAACCAGAGGGCAGGGCAACAGCCTGCGTGGCTGTCACTGTTCATTAGCAGGGCGCCGTAAGCTGTCTGAAGCTTACCAAAGGCCAGCCACAGGAGGGGGGCGGAGGGGCGCCTTGTTTCCATCCAAATATCTAAAACTGCGGTATAAACAGCTGGTTTTATTTCCTATAGAAACATGGGATTTAAAAACGCCTGTGCTTCAAAAATCCGTATTTAGTCTGATGTTACATCCAGAAACATAATATAACATCTTTTCAGCTAACTGCACTGCTCCTGTAAATGCTCCTGAACCTGAAGACCACTAATAACCTTGGAAACGTGTGAACCAACAGTTTTAATCAGCGCTAATGTATTTAGCTTCTCTGTGAATTCACCCAGGACTGTAAAACATCTGTACTTACTGGTCCATGCCGTCTCGACATGATTCTCATCACCCACAGGTATACAGCTGATAGATAATCAAAAGAGAACATCTCAGCAGTGCTGAAGTCGAGTCAACAAACTTTGAGTCCTGAGTCCTCCGAGTTCAAGTCAAGTGGAAAGCTGTTCGACTCAAACCCCTCTATGCTCTATGGACCTGGACTGATTGTTTGGGATTATTTGGAGTGTGTAGAAAACAAAACAAAAAAAAACATAATTCTGTCAGAGTATCAGGAGATTTATATTATCATGAAGTTACACTGCTGCGCGTGGCACACAAGTGCTCACAATGCTTTATTAACAAGGAGACGCACTTGTCAATACTACTGTGGTGGGATAACTGCAGGTGTCGAACAAACTAGAAGACACCAACCTGCCTTTGACCAACATCTTGGACCCTGTGCTTTAGTCACATAAGTCAAAAGTGTGCAATAAATCATATTATATGTATATTCTGTACACATGTAAATAAAACTCATGTACGTGTCTCTTTTTTGAAATCTAAGTTTCTTTATCCTTTAATTTTTAGTTTTGTATCTGTATTTATGCCACTGTAAATTTGGAGTTACCTTTGGAATTACTATTAAAGGAATATCTCATCTCTTCAGCAGTCCAAGTTGGTTCTCTTTAGCATATTACTTAGTTTTCTGGGTGCATCGTAAAGCTGGTACTGTCTGGTACAGTCTGTCTTTCTGTCAATGGTTTCTGGCACCTCATTATATGGATCCTTGTAGGGACTGGTGCTGAACAAGACCTGCATGCAGGTGACCATGCATGCCAGTCTTTGCTCTCAGCTGAATAAATTATCACCACCTTAAATGAAGAATTTGACAATCACAGTCCTTATCAATTAATAATCTCAGTCCTCCTCTCAATCTCATAAAGCACACCAAGTCATCAGCACTGAAGTCCAAATGGAGTCATTATTCTTGAAAAACAGGACTGGAGCTGGATTCAGGTCCTGGCCCTGTAACTGAGTACTTCAACATCGCAATTACCAAACAACAAGTATATTACACATCAGAGACTAGACCATTCCTGCACATCAACTGGAGTAAAAACTTTGTTAGGGGTTTAAATTAGTTGTTGGTTTGATGATGGCCTTCAGCAAATATTTCAAATTATTTACATTCAAATCCATTTTTGCCATGATTAACTTTGAGAGGTCTATGTTGATTATCCACGAACATTAAAGGCCAGTGACTGAGGAGACAGGTTCACAGCATGACTCTGTTGAGTCATTACAAAGGTAGCAGGTACTGCTGTTAGTGCAGAACAGTGTGTGGTAGAGATGTGATCGTATATGGCAGAGAGGGGGAAAGAGAGAGGGATGAACTCTCTATGCTGTCGAACTCAATAACCTAATTTAATGATGCTGCTGAAGACAAAATGAAGAATCAGACAGCATGGTCCAACACCTGAAGGGCAACAGATGCATCACCAAGCACACATGCTTGCCAACCTATACATCAGGCTGAAGCTTAAAAAAGAGTAGGGGAAAGGTCATGGATGGCTGGTCCTCTGCATGATGTGTTTGCTGTATGCTTTTTTTCTGAAACATAAAACAGGTCTGTGTTGTAACACTCGGGGATCCATATCACTAATAACTCAGAGTCATCACTCTTAGAAATGGCTCTTTTGCTAAGCTTCAGCATCTCATCAGCTGTTCTGACGGATGGGCAATAAAATGTGACCGTGGTATGTGTGGCTGTACTGTTGGTAATGGATACCTGGTCTAGATTAAGAACTTGCCATCTGGAAAGTGAGCATATTGTGGATGGATGATCTCTCAGCGCTGCCAGACCAGCGCTGTTGCCGCTCCAGAGGACATAAAATACAATTGATGTGCAAATATCTCCTGGAAAATGTCATCTCCTTAAATAAAGAGTCTCTGACCCAATAAGCCAGTGTTGATACAAGACGATGGAGAGCCTGCTGGGCTCCACAGCAACAGCAATTTCTCACATCATATCCAGCTTATGAACTCTATGTTATCTGTGAATTCTATGTTATCTGATTGCATTGTACAATTCAGGTAATGAAGCAAAGATAATATCTGTGGCTGATGAATAAATCCAGAGAAAAAACATTTTAAGGGTGAATCAAAAAATAAATTGTGTGTCAGCTGAGCCGTCATTTCCTCCTTTTAAATCTAAATCCTAAAAAATGAAACTTAACCCAGAATGAAAATGTTTCAAAAGCTGTAACTATTCACAACAGAGAGTATAAGAATCTTAATTATAAACTTTGCAGCAGCTGCATTACACATAAAACTTCCTACCTAAGGCCCACAAATGTCGAGGTCGGACTGATCAGCCCATTATCACATTTGTCAGGATAAAGCGGGAGAAAAAGACAGTGTTAGGGTGACCCCCATGCCCCTGCTGCTTGAGTCTAATCCAGGGTGAAATCAGTTTAACGCTGCTTCATTTTTACTCATTGTCAAAGTTTTATGCAGGTGTTGGAATTCTCTGACATTATTATGCCTGTCACTGTGCAAACAGGTTCCCCCATGTAGACAGAGAGGGAGGGAGGAACTGAACTCCTGACCTTTCATTCTCCTGGCGCCAGACTGGGTTGTCATGTTTCTCCTGTTTTTCATTCTGACAAACCATCTCAATTATACTACAGGAAATATATGGGAAGGTGACTGGTGGCTTGACCTTTCTAGACCTGCAGTACAACATCATGTCAATCAGCAAGCTCTACTGTGGCAGGTTTTACCTGTTCTGAAATAATCAAGGGGACTCAAAGTGAGTGTGCTACAGAAAACCTAACAATACATTTCGGGAGAATAGATCCTAGAACTACACATTATTTGCCCTTGCTATCAGGTCTGTCTAAACGTCTAATTCACAAAGCAAATAGTGCTGATGGTATGTGAGAACATAAATGTTCACAAAGTTATGCAGCTCTTTGCAGTTTGCTCCAGTTTTGTATTTTACTGTGACTGAGATGTAATCATCTCCATGCTCTGCTGCACAGAGCTTTGCACTCTCATCCTTAAAACGCTAAATTCTCTCTGCATATATAATGAGCTGGATGGGGGGGTACTTTTCATTTTGTTCTGGAGTTGATTCAGACAGGGACAAATTTCCACAGTTCATGCTAAAGAGGTTCATTCGGCCTGTCAATGATAAATTTACAAGATGGTTCACCTATGAAGGCCAGAAAGGTAAAAAAATAAATGTTTTGTACCTGACAAGTTTCGGCTACTTTGCCTCTGCAGCCTTCATCAGAGGTGTCACATGGTGTTGGTGTGGCAAAACCCATATACTTCATCACAGGTGATGTCATAACAACATCACGTGACACCTCTGATGAAGGCTGCAGAGGCAAAGTAGCCGAAACTTGTCAGGTACAAAACATCTATTTTTTACCTTTCTGGCCTTTTTAAATGAACTGTCTTACAAATTCCACAGTTCCTGTCCAGCTGACTTCCTGAAACAGGCTAACAGAGCAGCTTGTTCAGATAGGAAAGGAAAACACTCAGCTGTGTGTCAGAATTTATCTTTAGACTGGTTAACCCTCCGATTATGATAAGAATAGTAATGTCAAGCTAATAATAGCTGACTTAATGTGCGGGTTTTTCTTTCTGGGTTATTCAGAGGTGAAATTGCCGACTTGATGACTGAAGAATTTGAGCATAATGATGCTTACAAGTACCTCCGCGCAAATATCATCAGCTCTCAGCACCCTGAAAATATTTCACTTTAACTGCATGTGGCTATTAGTGCAGTGGAATTTTGTTTAAAAATTTGGGGTGATTTCGCAATGAGGCTTATTTGCATAGGCAGGGGCATGTTTTGCTCTGGATGAATGTCTAATGACTCAGTTAAATGTAGGCAAACAATACTGACATATTTGCTCTGCAGCACAGTTTGTGGAGCATTTTAATATTTGCTTTCTAAATTAGATAGTGTCTTTGGTTATTTCCAAAACTGTGCAGTCGTAATCTGTCCCTTAGAGAAGCAAAAAGCTGCTATACATTTCTTTAGATATCATCTCAATTAATTCATTTCAATTACGTGTGGGTGATTTCTTGAATATGTTCTGTTGGAAAAAAAGTTATGCGCTCTGTAGGAGACTTTGCGTTGCACTGAAGCTATGCCAGGGGAATTGCAATGAATAAATCATGGATAAGTAAGTCCTTAATGAATGCCTCTAAGTGTACAAAACTGCCAGTCAGTTAAATTGTATCTCTGTATAACATGAACATAGGGCAGACCTTTATTGATTATTAATTCATTTTTTCCACATTGTCCTTGTCAGGGTTAATCAATCTGACCATCAGTTCCAGCAGGCTTTGATGAAGTCAGAGAGAGAGAAAAAAGACGGCTCAACATTTTTATTGTACTCACATGCCAGGAAACAGTCCATACTGAAAGAGATGTTGTCAAGAGAGATGGCTGAACCGGGTCCAGGTCCATCTTCTGTGCTGAACTGTAGCCAGAACCTGCAGAGGGACAGAGTGGGTTTAACTACCTCACAGCCAGTGACCGATTGGAGAGCTCGTGACTGAAACCATGTGTGGAGGACTTCACTGTCAAGAGAAAAGCCACTGAGGTTTGGATGTTTTGGGTGTGCATTGTTGTTAGCTCTGTGATAGCAGAGTCTGTATTGTTGTGTTTTTTTTTTCTCTGTAAATGGAATCAAACACTAAATGGATTTAACTCACTTGGTGGTTCCAAATGAAATACCTTTAGGTAAAGAGAAAACATTAAAGCAGACAGAGATCTATAAACTGTGGAGGGATGCTTTAATATTTCAAGAAATATATTTATTCACACTTTCCAGCCAAGGCTTAGTTGACTGCATTGTTATTTCTCTCTAGTCAGTACCTTAAACACAGAGCTTCTGGCAGGGTAGCTTAGCATTAAAAGATCAAACAGGGGCAAGGCCTTGTCTGGCTCATAAACACGGTGAATTTAGTTTTGAAGTCTTTCCATGAACCACAACAAATCAACATTTTGTTGGACTCTTTCATTTGATAGAAAAGTTAATAGATAGCAAAGAAAATAACTAGATTTAAGAGTGGAAGGAGAAAATACAGCTTGCTAGGCTGTTATCACTGTCAACTTATGAAGTATGACAGCTGGGACCAAGGTGACTGCCCTGTGAAATGTATTAAAGCTCTGTCTGCTTGCCAATTGGTTTAGAACCTGGGATCCAAGCTTCCTAAAGGGATATTTTGTAGAAGAACGTTGCTGGCTGTTTGCTTCTCTAGTTATACCAACTTCAGCAACGACCACACAATAGCAACACAGAGCGGTCTATGTCTCCATGTGCAAACATCAACCAAAAAGCCACTCTATAGCCACAAATAATGTTCAGAACAGCACCTAACTTCATCAACAGAACATATAGGGTCCCAACCATAGTACCAGCCACCTAACATCTATTTGGCTTTGCCTGGTTTCTTCAGAAAAGAGACCAAACACAACTAACCTACTCTCCTCCAGCAGCCACTTGTTTGTGGGGGAGCCCTGACGAGAAGATCACCGAGTGCAGCGGAGTTTCACGGCTCAAGGAAGAACATTTATGATTATTACTTCATGGAAATGCAATCAAACAGAGACGCTGAGGCAGAAGAACTACTGCGTTTGCAGTGCAAAATGATTAATATGATGATTATTACTTCCAGAAAATTATCCGCTGCACTCGGTGATCGACTCGTCAGGGCTCCCACACAAACAAGCTTCTGCTGGAGGAGAGTGGGTGAGTTGTGTTTGGTCTCAGGCAAAGCTAAAAAGATGTTTGATGGCAATTACTATGGCTGGGACCCTATATGTACTGTTGATGAAGTTAGGTGCTGTTCTGAGCACTACTTGTGGCTATAGAGTGGCTTTTTGTTTGAGCGTGGAGACGTAGACCACTGTGTATTGCTATTGTATGGTTGGTGTTATGGTGTGTTTGACCATATCGGAATATCCCTTTAAGGGGGGATGCAAGGGATCTGAGGGGTGGCAGATACTCCTTACAGGTGAGTCAGAGTTAGTTTTGCACATCCATCCCACCCATTTTCTACCACTTATCCCGTTGGGGGGTCGTGGGGGGGCTGGAGCTTTTCCCAGGATCTCGGGGTGAAGGTAGGGGACACCCTGGACAAGTTGCCAGTTTATTGCAGGGTTGACAAATAGAGATGAGCAACCATTCACACTCACAGCTACGGGAAATTTGAAAGTGGCCAATTAACCTAACCCCACTTCTGCATGTTTTTGGGATGTGGGAGGAAACCAGAGTACCCGGAGTAAACCCATTCAGACACAGGGAGAACATGCAAACTCCACACAGAAATGCCCTGACGTGGATTTGAACCCAGGACCTTCTTGCTGTGAGGCGACAGTGCTAACCACTACACCACTGCGCTACCCTAGTTTTGCACATTTTAACTTAAATCATGATAACAATGGATGTTGATAAAAATGAAATGTGTGCCTGCGACATTATGAGCTTATATAGAAGTGTATTCTTATTTTTACTAGTGATAAGAAACATGTTCATTGAGTCTATATAACATCACCTGCAGAAAACATGAGCTCTCACCAAGATGCATTAACACCTGCAGCCCCCCATTCACACTCTAATTATACTGCCTGTTCTGTCCTGGCTATTACTGCTCTTCTGGCTGTATTTCTGGTTCCATTTAAGCTCTACAAAGGTCACTGTGCAAAGAGTGGCAGGTTCACCTTGTGGTTACGGACATGACATTCTAATTAAGAGCACAAGCACAGCTGACTACATAACCAAGGAATCAAAAATTAATCACTCTCAAGGGAGCAGGATTATCCAAGCTCGAATGGCAAAGAAACCCAGTCAGGCAAACAGAAGAACTGCCGTTTCTGGGGTTTCTCTGTTTTTTCTTGCGTATTTTCTTTTCTTTTAATTCCTCTCTTTTCTGAGGGGAAATCAGGGCCATGGCTAATTGGAAGGCAGGCAGGATGGGTAGAGCCTTGTGTATTGATTTCAACCCTCTTTATCACAGACAGGAGGGATGAAAAGAGAGGAGGGTATTTTGTACACATGGCAGGTCTGTGGCATAAAACTACAGTCTCTATGGGGTTCATTAATTTTTGGAGTTGAGAGGAAATGCTTCCCAGAAAATGGAATGTAAATGTTGAAAATCTGCATTTATGAGAGGTGAAAAGAAGGAGCGCGTCTTGTTTCTGTTTCTTAAAAGCTTCTTACCTCAGAGGGGACTTAAGGATTTGTATGTAGGTGTTAGATGTTTGCTGGGATGAAAGTTGAATCATTTATTCACTCTTAAATACTTCAAAGTGCCAGTTCGAAGCTGTCAGACAGCCCAGACATTCAGGTTGACATGATCAGACTGTCTGTTCATGTGGTTATAAAAAAGGTGAGTGTTTGTCTTACCAGTCTGCCAGGCCGTAGAGAGGGAGTATGACGAGCTTCCAGCCCTTCTCTGGTTTTGGTTCGCTGGCTGAATGCCACAGTCTGCGCTGCTTATCGGGGCCTGTGCTGTTTTCCATGATCCACAGAGACAGTGAGACCCTCTGTAATCCTCCAGAGCACAGCCAGAATCGCACCTGTGGAAGAATGGTGCAGATTTCAATGAAGCAGCAAAAAAAAAAATAAAATAAAATAACCAGTAAAAATGATCAAATCTGGTGTTGTAGGGATTTCTGAGAAATTGGTGTAAGCTTACAAAAATACCACAGCTACTGTTAACTTCTTTTGAATCCATTTTCACTTGAAGTAAACCAGCCAAGTGTGTTATCAGACAAGGAAGGGATGCTCTTAAATTGCAAAGAGATCAATCAGCAACAGCCATCTGTTCACTTCTAATTATTCCAAGATTAATGGAATTCAACCAGGATCATAAACTGGGTTATTTTACTACCTGTGCTCCTGCTGTATGTTTTTGCACAAATCATTCTCATTCTGCAGTGTACAGGAGAGACATTTTTGGTGCAAATTTAACAACACATGTGAAAGAAGGATTTAAAATGTGAAAGAAATCCCCATGCTTTCTAACAAACATGGGATGAGACTATGTCCCTTTCCTGCATTTTTGGAAACAAGAGCATAACTCTTATTCCACCATTGTAGCAGAACAGATGCTGACTTCAATCTGATGAAAAACCCATGTCGGGACAACACTGCCTGCACAGCTGACTGCAGCACTTTAAATCTGAGAGCTTGTTTTGTGCTTGTCCACAGCAGGTTGCAGTCCTTATCATCAACTGTGAGACCACATGGTGACCGTGTAAACATCAAGATTACGGGCACTGCTCAGCAAGCAGCGGGCACGTCATGAAAGTGAGCATGGTCTGTAGCTAATACCCAAAACTAATATCCTCAACATGGCTGTCCAAGAGCGGACGGGCTACATCGAACAGCATCAGTTCAGTGCAGAGAGGAGGATTTAGAGCCTTAATCTGGAA